AAGGAAATAGACAGAAACCAGACAAGAGAGTAATTCAAAGGTTTAGGAAGGCTGATTAATTGGTTCCATCAAATGCCACAACAGCATAAATAAAGCCATTACAATTCCCTCACATCCCTTAGTGTGACAGAAACCATTAGTATGAAAAAGGCTTTTTCTCCCCATTTGTCCCTGTGACCACAGTTTTTCAGATATATCTGACAAGTGGTGTTCTGCTTCCCAAGCCTCCTTCAGAGTTCGGTGATATCCAGTTCTCCCTGAGCTACAATGACTACCTGGGCCGTCTCACTGTAGTGGTTCTGAGGGCAAGGGGATTAAAGCTCCAGGAGGAGAACCATGCTGTGGGTGAGTGTGATTTCCCCTCTGCTATCAGCTCCAGAATTCCTGTTTTAATTTGCTCCTTCCTCATCTGTCCACCCAGGCTTGTGCTGAGTGACTCTGAAAAGAACAAATAAACACCTCAGTGATTTATTATGAGTGGAAACAAGCCATATTTTGCTACTGGGGTAATTGGATTTTGATAGCTCAGTTCTGCTATGTTTGTTTCATAATAAATGGTTTGTCTCATGTCATCAGTGGCAATTTTTTTCTCCTGTTTCAGTACAGAGTGTGACATCCCTTTGCTGCACTCCGACCTAGAGAAAGCAGCATTGCAGGGGATAGACATTAAAAGATTTGCCTCAGGTAAAATTCCCAGAGGTAACAGCTGCAGGACAACTGCTTACGCTGAACAGCTGTCCTGGGAAGAACTGAATTGGGAAAAAATTCCCATTTTAGGACAGCTTGGCTGTTGTTCAAAGGACCATTGCATGGAGTCACATTTTCCTCCCTTTCTGCAGTGGGGGTTTTTCTGATATGTCATACTCACGTCCCTGGTCTCTGAGATTACCTCAAAATGCTGTTTAGAACCTAAACACTCAAAACAAAAACAGGCAGCAGAAAATTTCAGGTTGCTTTGGATCTCATTGTCAAAGACCTGCTGAATTAGGCCATAATGCAATACAGGTCCCCCTCAGGAAGCAAGGCAAAATTCTGTTGTTCTTGGCATGTGTCCCCCACAATTTTTGTAATATCCTCTAAAAGAAAGAGGAGAGATCATTGATCTCTTCCTCAAATTTTCTACAGAATCCCTGACCACAGGTCTAGGTGACTGTGAGAATCTGTTCACCTGCAACACATCCAGTCCAAGCACAGGCTCCTCCCTCACGGCCTCCCTTGTGTTGGCTCAACCAGCCATGTGATCACACGCCTGAAAATAACTGCTGACTGAACAAACCTAAGCCTTCAAAAAAGTCTCCACCAGATGAAGGGAAGGCACAGAAATGTAAGATCAAGAAGGCAGGGTAAGGATGTGACTGTTCATTTTAGCAGCTCTTGAACTGGAAAGTGCCCTGCAGAACTGCACCCTCAGTGCTTTGTGCACTCCCTGCTCAATGTTACACATTGCCATGCTGTCGTGTGTGTTCCATGAATCCCTCATGATCTGACTATGATACCTGATATTGAATCCTGAAGGGAAGAAATTCCTTAAGCCATCTCCCAACTGCTTCTCACCTGTTTTTTTCTTGAATTTCTTTTTCTCCAAGGTGTGTATGTCAAAGTCTCACTGATGAACCATAATAAATTCATCAAAAGTAAAAAGACAGCAGCTGTTCTGGGAACTCCCAATCCAGTGTACAATGAAACCTTCAGTTTCAAGGCAGATCAGACAGAGCTGGATACAGCAAGCCTGAGTCTATCTGTGCTCCAGAGTATCAAGGGAGAAAGTAAGCTACATAAATTATTACAGTCAAGTTGTCATAAACCTCTTACATACTGGAGACATGTTTAAACCTGTGAGGAACTAATTCCTTTTCAGCAATAATAATAAAACATATAACATATAAGAGTTTTGGGATATATCACAGGCTGTTTCTTTAAAAAGCAGAACAACTTATTTGCAGTTAAGCATATGCCTTCTTCAGAGGCGAAAGATAAATTCAACAGAAGGTGAATAATACCAAAACATAACCACAGACTAGTCATTGTCAGTACAAGGTGCTGTACTTTCATTTTATTTCAGTATCCTACTAAAACAAGCTTATGCAATTATGCTGTGAACACTTGTAGGTAATCCTCAACCTCCAAAATGTTGAGGTCATTCACTCTTGCTAACCAAATTTGAAAATGGAATAAGAAATTTTAATTATCCCAGCAGTTTATGCAGTGAGAAAGAAGAAAGAGATTAGCAGCATCCCCATTCCCTGGCAGAAAACCTAATGCTTGAGGCCACCTTTTACTAATTGTTAGAGAATCCATTAAGGATTCTCTAAGGAGTTCTGCTTAGAGAAGTAAATCAGAATTCAATATTTCCATCGCTCACAAGAAGACCATTTTCCCTGCAGTGCAAATATGATCTCGATAATGTAACATTAATATCCTCATTTAGATTCACCCACTCCTAAAAAAAAAATTCCTTTAGGTGAGATTTTGGGCAGGTACTCTGGCTTTGAGGATTGACAAGAACTAGAATCAGCACTTGAGTTCTTTCATCATTTTCACTTGCAGACAGCTAAATACTTTACGAACTATTCCAAAGTTCATGAAAGGCAGGTTCAAATCATTTCCCCCATTCACAGTTGAAAAGTCCAGGCATGAAAAAACAACCTGCTCCTTGGCAGAGGGTGGTCAGTGGTAACCCACATACTGTGGCTCCAAGCTGTCTCAGTAACTGCATTTACTCATTCCCAAGCTAGAGCATCATATGAATCCTACTGAGGTTGCTGAGGCCCAAAACTAGGGCACACTTCTACAGCAAACTTGAGGTAGAGGGGCTGGGCAAATAGAGATCTTTGTGCCTAGAACACAGTCCAGTTTAAGTGCAGGCAGTAAGGCCTGCATTGACCAAGTACACACTTACTGCAGTACCTTTGAATGCTGAATCTTAGCAGGTAGAAACTACAGAACATGAAATCCAGCATGAATTCCTTGATTAACATTTTGGTTTAAAAGTGACTTTCAGAACATGCCTTACCCAGAGAAATAGAAGTTAATATGCAAATTTAGGTAAGGATTTCAGAGAAGCACTAACACGTGTTCATTACTAACTGCTTATTTTCTTCCTAGAAACACTTCTGCTGGGACGAGTAGTGGTTGGGCCTTTCATGTACACACGTGGCAAAGAACTTGAACACTGGAATGAAATGATCAGCAAGCCCAAGGAGCTGGTTAAACGATGGCATGCTCTCTGCCACAGCATGTAGACAGTACTGATAAAAAAGAACCTTAAAATGGAAAAGCTCTATCTTTTCTTATCTAAAGGGTACACAAATATTTGCTAAAATTTTGTATTCTAAGCAGACAATAATAAAAGAATTGAATTATTTCCTTAACCAAACACAAATAAAAGACCTGGTCCCTGGTAGGTCTCTCTTTCCTCTTTTCAAAATGTATGTTCATTTTAATTAACACACAGCAGAGTAAACAAAACAGGAAGCCAAACATGATCTCCCATTATCAGTTAATCTGACTAGTAAATTCCACTTCTAGGTCATGAGTTCTGTGCACAAATGATCACCCATTATGTGGATAGAACCCAAATAGTATAAAGGTTTTCAGTGATGACACCAGGCCTAACTGCCCATACATTGCATCACCACAGGCAGAGTGGCTTCACCAAAAGGAATGGGAGCCCACTAAGATGCCAAAACAGACAAACCCAAAAGATGGTGACTGACTAATAAATTTACAGTTTATTCAAAACAGCAGCATTATATTTAAATCCTCTTTTGATTAGGAAGGGTAGAAGAAACTGTTTATTGGTCAAAAACCAGAAGCACCTGTTTCCCCCAGCACAGTGAATTTCTTGCAGCAATGCAGTTCAATGTTTTCATCTGACCCTAACATACAACACTCTGTGTTGGCACAAGCATAGAAGGGACAAGCACAGAAGTCATGGAGTCACAAGTGACTGGAGGCTTGCATGAGTATTGGAATACTCTGAGAACATAAGATAAGGACCTGTCTGGCCCTTACATACTTCCCTCAAAACATGTCTCTGCTGGAGACAGAGCACTGATCTCAAGAATCTTGGGTTTGACCTGGTATGACCATTCTTACATTGACAATCCAATCATCTTAAGCCCTCGGGGCATATATCTGTTTTAGCAGTAGAGTTTTCTTTGTTAAGTAAATTACTCTTCCATAAAGTAATTTGGAGCAATTATTCTTAATCAAAATAAAATAGGACGCTCTTCTCTTGTTGATTGTTCACTGGGGACCTGAACTCTGTGCCTCTCATGCTGTACAGTCATAAGCCAGACAGAATGACCACTGCAGCAAAACATTTTGTACAACTGTGTTCCAGGAGGACCATAATCTCTACAGCTGAAATAAAACCAACTTCCTTTCAAGCAGGATACAATATTAATTAATTTAATATAGTAAAAAGATGAGGATTCTCTGGAGAGATGAGAACACTTTCCATTTCTATAACACTGTTATTATTCTAAAGGAAATACTATGAATGAGAAGATATCACAGAGTAATTGTAAGATAACAGACTTCTCTGACCCACTGTCTGAAATGTTACACGGTACCCTCAGTCTGTCTTGCTCACTGCACCCTTGGATACAAGATGAGCCTAGATTCTTTAGATTAAACCTGAATTTTACAAAGTGCTCAACCCTAATTATATCTTGGCTAAACGGGTAACACCAGCACCCTCAACTCCAAAGAGCTGTTTTCAAATTTTAGTCCTACAAAACTACTGCAAACCAATCTCATAAGCAATATGTTTGATCTGGGAAGGAAAACTGTGCAGTCATACAGTTTACATATTAATATAATAAAACAATTTAATGGAAGAATTTTTTTCCTTTATTACTTGAATGATATCAATAAAGATCTTAAAAGTAACCTGTTAGTAACATTTCAGACAGCTGGTTTACTAGTTTGTGCAGGAATATTCCTGCAGGTAATCTCTATTAACAAATACCTCTGAAGCTGGAAGTCATCTGACTTGATGTACAGTATCATCCATGTAATTAAAAAATGCCTTTTACTAATGTGATTCTCTTTCCTTTGCGCTTCTTATATAGTAAAGTAACAATACTTCCAGCTTGTATGTTCAATAATTCCAGTTAAAATAATGAAGAAACACATTTAAATACACTTACCAGTCATCCAAGTGAAGTAAATGAGAAAGACCCTTTTTGACTCTTCCTGAACAAGAGCTACTTGAGTAAAGCAAGAGACATTACAAGGAGCTACAATTATTGTCAAACTATGTAGCAATTATTTTTACCTGCTGCTTTTTATACAGCATCCATCTGATCCTGTGCTTGAGACTTAAACTGAGATGAAGAGGAATGATTACAAGACTGCTCAGTGCCTACCAGAAGTATCTTTCCTTTAAAAAAGTTCAATTTTTACAAAGATGCATAGCACAGAAAACCCTATCTGAGAAACATACAAGAAATACATGCAAGATCATGGAAAGATGTGACAGCCTCCTCAGTGCTTCCCAATACTATTGACAAATACAGGAATTTCTAAAGCTCTGCAATAGATCTAGCATGTAACTTCACGAAAGTACAACCCCATCAGATGACAGGGAGCAGCAATTTACCACCATTTTTGAACAAACACGAACAATGGTTACATTCTTGTTCTAGAGAACAGAATCCTGGAGAAGCTCTCCAACCTCTCAAGCAGAGTATTTATTTATAATCCTTTTTGGATCACTCTTACCCGTTTCTCCCAATTAAAATTATACCTATATTATTATTTTAGAAAGCCTAATGATCACTGCCATCTGCACTAATCTATCCTTCCTCTGAGCGAGGAAATGAGAGACCAGATTTGAAAATTACTTGCTCCTAATATAACTGTACATTCTAAAAGCAGCAGCTTGATGAAACTGAAGGGTAGAAAGATGCACCACAGGTGATAAAGCACTGGAGAACTCCTCCAGAAGAAATACCTGCGCCAGGCACAGAAAGTAAAGTGACTTTCTCTTTGAAAGGTAGGAAGAAAAGTCAGGAGTAGTAAACACTAGGCAGCAGGACCTACAACTTTTACACAGAATTATTAAAATGAAGATAGGAACCAAACTATGGCATCATGTTTGCAACTTGGATTTGAAGAAGGAATGCTGTTAAACACAAGTCAGAGGGGTGATCTGCAAAACTGTGAGAAGAGAGTGAGGCAGTTGGGTCCTCATCAGCTGGAGAGAGCTAAGCCCAATAGATGGAACTTGGTGGTTACCCACACAGAGTTCAGCAATCCAGAGGGCAAGACTTCTGCCCCAAGTCATCAAATCAACCTGCTGAGACCACACATTGACAGGGTATAAAACAACCTTTAGGGTTTTTCTAATGCAATTGATGACTGCTTCTCACGAGTCTTCCTAAACTCAAAATGCTCATGCAATGTCTTCACTCAGATAGGATCAGCATAATAACACCTTAATTGAATCAAAATACTGACATTGCTCTTCCCTTTAACAGTTTTCCCTGGCATTAAGAAATCCACATTTTAGAACCAGATGCTACTATGTAAGTGTAATTAGAATAAGCTATAAAAGGCACAGATGATTAGAATTTTCCCCAAGGTGATGGATTAGGACAATGTCAACTTGTTTTTATGCCAAGTCACATGACATTAAAGATAAAAAGTGCTTTTACATTGAAGTGAAATTCAATCATTGCAACTCTTCTGAATTCTCATTTTACAAAGCAGAGATTTTTCCATTTTATCTTTAGCACAGTTTATTAACAGGAGCAGAATTAAGTTTTCCTTCTTGATCATCAATTGAGAACATAATAACTGTCTTCTGTGAATGGTTTGTCTGTTGCCCCAGGCATGACATTGTGGAAACTATCATTCCTCTTCTGAGACTCTGCACAGCTTCCTTTGTATAGGGAGCTACCCAGTTTCCTCTGGAGATTTTGTCCTGCCCTTTGCACACCAGTGGTGCTAATGTTGAGCACAGTTTTGGTATCACTGTGCTGTCTGTCTTATATTAGTCTTGGTTATCTTGGCACAGAGGAAAATTGATTTTCGTGGCATAAGATCAGCATTTCTGTGCTTGCTGACAGGCCTGGCAGAGGTTGTTCCAGAGACAGACCAAAACAGAATCATAGAATGGTTTGGGTTGGAAGGGACCTTTAAGATCATCTCATTCAAATCTGCCCACCATGGGCAGGAACACCTTCCACTAGACCAGGTTGCTCCAAGTCTCATCCAGCCTGGCCTTGAACACCTCCAGGGATGGGGCATCCACAAGTTCTTTAGGCAACCTATTCCAGTGCCTCACCACCCTCATAATGAACAATTTCTTCCTTATATCTAATACAAACCTACCCTCTGTCAGCCATTCCCCCTTGTCCTATCCCTACATGTCCTTGTAAAAAGTCCTCTACAGCTTTCCTACAGGGCCTCTTTAGGTACTTCTCCAGGCTGAAAAACCCCAGCTCTCAGCCTTTCCTCCTACTATCCCTCCACTCATCTTCATGGCCTCCTCTGGACTCACTGCAACAGGTCCACGTCCTCCCTGTGCTGAGGACCCCAGACCTGAGGGTTATTTTATCACAAGATGGTTAGGACTTAAACAGAAGACTAAGTTTGCTATGAGAAGCAGAACCACACAAACCTGTTTGATCAACAAACTTGTTTAGTAAACAAGAAGATAAACACAAAATTAATGTAAGTGACCCTCTGAAAATTCAGCTGAGAATTCATTTCTTCAAAGTCATCTTATAATCCTTAGGATTCTTCACTCTAGCTGCCAGACTGATCAGAAACATCACTACTTTTCCCTTTATTGGTGCATAAGAAAACAGATGACTTCCACACAGCTCTAATCAATATTAAAACCCCAGCAGTTCCAACCTGCTTTCACATGAGATACAAGAGAATCCAAACTAGCACCAAGAAACATGGTTATTCAATTCTAAGCAGCCACTTCCAAGGAACAGCACAAGAAAGCTGTTCAGAAGTCACTTTACTTACATTACAACACATTTAACAGCTTGAGCAAATTCAGTTTTGAGAACAGTTCTGTGCCTGAAGCCAGAGCATAGCTGGAACTGGTTTCCTGAAGGAGAACAGTAAAAGTAAAGATCTGCAAGGATCTAGACAGACAGCAAATACAATTCATATCCTCCAGCTTATACCAGCCTCTTTAAGAGGCACAGGTTATATCAGAGAAATATATTTATATCAGAGAAAAATACTGATCTATGTATTTAATCACTTTCACAGAGTAACAGTCAGACTGTTACTTTATGAAGTCAGGCACAGTTATCATTTACTCAATCTTTTACTAATAAAAATCATCATCAGATATACTAAGTCTTTAAAAAAAATTAAATTCATTTCTAAACCTGACCAAATTGTGAGAAAGCTTTGCAGACCAGCGTTAACGTGAATAAATGGACTGAGGTGATTAAATTTGTCTGCTTCTGCTGGATAAATACTACAACAATTAAATAATTTAAGTGGTCCATGAAATAATGCCCTAGATTAAGAGGTCTTAGACAGTTAAAAAAATGGTGCAGTAATTCCTAGATACACAAATTATGATTCAGTGAGACAGTTCTGTTTTATAAGACAAAAGAACAGCAGTAAATTGCTGAGAATAAATGGCAAAAGTTCTGCTGTTAGAAAGCAAACAACCACAACCTCAAACCAAAAAACAGACAGCATATAGGATCAGACAAACAAAAATCTTATAACTAAAATATCACTGAATTCTGTCTGTCTTCCTCAAATCTGCCAGACATGAGGAAAATTCCTTCTCTCAATTGTAGTGAACTTTTCTGAGGAGAAAAAGGCAAACAGATACCCAGGAAGAGTTTATTAAGATAAAAATACAGGTAAAAAATATACTCTATAACAATTCATCAGTATTACAACAGCAGTATATACTATTAGCACGTTTTCCATATCAGTCCTTTAGGTGGTTTTGCTTTTTTCATAAGTTAAGGCTAAAGTCCTTTATTGTAATTTTTTTTAAGATATTTTGCTTCTTTCACTTAACTCATTTTTCTTCTCCTTACCCTCTGTGTGTTCTTATGGTCTTTGTTACTCAGTTACTGCAGAGGTCAATACTTCAAAGATCAAGATGAAAATTCAGCAGATGGAAATCCTTCTGCAAAGGGTAGCTGTTCTCATCTAGCACAAAATGGCTCCTGATTTCCAACAAATAGGATGCTTCTGTATCCGTCAGCAGCGAGTGACACAGATCTGCTACTATTGCGCTGTAGGTTATATCTGAGGAGGGCACTGCAAAACACAACAATTCAATTTACACTTGATTTTCACAACGGCTCCCATCATTCAAGTTCTACCTCCACAAAAGCTCCACTGAATCACTGGAAATGCAGTTCAACATCTGAATAAAAAATTGGCTCTTATTTTTAATTATGTTTTAAAAACAACGAGCTGAGCCTGTTTCTCATCAAACTGTTAACAAGAGTGAATCAGGTAAAACACCTCTCAGGTCAAACAGGATGTATCAAGTGAAGCTTGTCTGAGCCACTTCTCAGTGTTTCACATCATGAAAGCATGTCAGCTATTTATAAAATCTGCTAAGAGGTTCTATTTCACCTATAAGGAATCAATTTAGTTAATGAATATTTAGCTATACAATTACAACTATTTCGTCTATATAATAAATGTTCAAACAATCTTGCCTCTTGTAGCTGCCACTCTGTTCTGAACTTCTGACTTGCTCAGACAGCAACTGAAATATTCTCTCTGATGTTGTTTGTAGGGTGGGTTTTTTTTTGGTTTTGGTGGGGTTTTTTTAAACTGTCAGTAATTAAAAATTTTGTTTCCAATGTCAACTTTGCAGCCGGTTTCTACCATAAATAATTCATGAAACAGTACCTACTAATCTGTTCAGCCAGTCTGCAGGAATATTGAGGAAGATTTTTTCCATCAACTCAGACACAACATGAACATAAATTTCATATCCTTCATCTTCTACTGTCATCAAAGCAGGTCTAGATCAGAAAACAAAAGTTTCTTGAAAGATACCTGCTACATTTTGATTTTTTTATTGAAGCAAAATTTCTGAAATTAAGACAATTTAATATCACTCTGCAATATAATACCAAGAACTAGAAAAATAAGAAAATCTCTATGCACTCATCTGTCAAATCTGTATCACTGAAATCACTTTGAGGTGTATATACTGAATTTACTACTCAATGTTAAAATAACTCCTAAAGTAACCCTTACTTTCAGACAACTGCTGAAAAAAATGCTTTATGACTTGTCTTCCCTGAAAGACAATGGGAAGTGCTCTGTTATGAAATTAGTGTTATCTATGGCTCTGAACTTTAAGTATAAAGGTTAATATAATACCTAAGTATATGTACCTACAAATATATAATGGGTACATAACATATTGAAATGCAAAGTAGGGAGATGAGCTTAGGTGGATCACTTGGAATTGTATCATCTGTATCAACATCAACCAATATTATCTGTCTTAATACATCACTTTATAGCCACATCATACCAAGGTATATTTCTTGTACTGTAACAAATACCAAATGTTTTCACAAACCACTAAACAAATAAAAAATCCTTCACTGAAAATTTTACCAAGGTGATGCATTCTTACTAATCTAATCAGAGCAAAATTTCAATGCAAAAATAACAGGTTTTCTCTGAAAAAGTTGGGCATGTAAGTTCCACAAGATGTGTTCACATGCTGAGAGTACAAACACCAGAAATCTATCATTTATCTACCACCTTTTGTGAAGAAGCAAATTGAGGTCCTTCAGGACCACTGAGAGGTTATAATCTTATGAAAGAGTGGGGGAACCTTTTCAGTTAAGAAAAAAACCCCTCTTCACACTTAATCCTCCTTCATAGGAAACCAAGTAGCATATAAACTTAAAGATGCAAGACTATTTTGCTTAGAGGTTAAATACTAATTCCCTTGTTAAATAAAGAGGATATTAGTAATTAAGTCAATAGTTCATTACACTCACTATGAAAGAGTTTAGAAAGAATTTGAGAAAGAATTTAGACAGAAAATTTACATATTCTACAATTCTATTACATCCATGACTGTCTCAATTACCATTCTCTAGCTACACATCTTTCAAGTCACTATGATACATTTTGAAAGCCCAAGATAAATTTAAAAATGGAACAATTAATTAATAACAATGTTCCTACATCAACTGGGTCCGCTTAGTTTATTTTCCCTAAGTGTGATTATATGTGTCTCACAGTGCCATCTGGTGATAACTTAGTATTTCTGCTCTCTGAGAATGCTGACTGAAAACATTTACCAATTTTATTTCTCCAAGGCTAAAACTGATTACTCAGTTAAAAATATGGTTCTGCATTCACACAATTTCAAACTCAGGCTGGAACAACACTCTTTAGGTTTCCCTTTGGTCCTCAAGCTTCTACTCCATCTTAGCTTTATCTGACATAGTACTGGGTAAACATCATTTCTGTCTGACATGATATTCAAAGAAATTAAAAGGTTACAACTTAAACTAAGAATATCACATACAAATAATGGCAATATAATACAGCAATTGAGGAAAAACTCCTTGAACATTCACTTTCACTTAGAAAGACAAGGATTGCTTACCATATCTTAAATAAAGAATTTTATATATAGGGGAACTTTAAATGGAGAAAGTTGCAGTTTACTTCCCTAATAGTAAATAGTATTTCAGATTTATTTTGCTTACCTGTAGAATGTTTTTACTTTGTTGTATGGCAAACATCTAATACATTGCTTGTAGATCAGGTTCTCATCTGCCTGCAGTTCCAAACCACAGTCTGGCACAACCTGAATATGTAATCATAGGCAGAGAAGCCAAAACACACTCCAGTGAAGTGTCAGCAGAGAAGATGAGTTGCTTGTACTGACCAGTTGAAATGGTAAACTTCAGTTCTAAGATATGGGCTTTCACTTGAATCACTCCTGCAAAAACAAGTTCAATCAAATATGAATTCAGTTTTATTTATAACTGAAAGCAAAAACGAGGGCTGCAGCTGATTCAAAACCAACATCACTAGAAATAAAACTTTCTTCTTTTTTTCCCTTTAGTAACACCTGCTCACATTTTTAGAGATATTTCATGCAGGGAAAAGTCACCATGGTTAAATATTATTTTAAAATGTATAAATCTACTACATTTTCAGGCAGTATTGAGGTAGATGCCTCTACAGAAGTGCCCGAATAAGACAACAAAATTGTGCAGGTAATTTCCAAGGGATTTTCTTTCCACTAATTCAGAGACACTGAAAAGCACAGCCTTAACAACTTAGCTTTCCATTATTTTAACATAAACCAGAGTTAAATGCTTGCAACACCAACTTTAGTTACTTCCCAGAATTTAACACCAACCTAGCAATCTTTTAGGTTTATCTGGGAGGCGGCGACTGCGTAAAATGTTTTCTTTGTTCTTTTGTAAGAAGTTTTCAATAGCAGTAGCTATTTTACTCTTGATTTAGAGAGTTCCACTTTTGGAGAAATACTATTTGACAAACTTTTAGTGATTAATCACATCATTACAAGGCTGGTTGGTGTGCATAACCAAAGTCAGCATTTCTCCCTATGTTCCAAAGCTGTCACTGCATGGTACCACATACCCCACCTCTCTCACCACTGGGCTCACGGGAGGCTGCATCAGTTTGTTTGAGTGGTGAGCAGCAGCCTTCAGAATAAATTCAGACCCCCAAACCTCTGCTACCTTAAAACATAAGCATTTTACTTCACCAATAGAGCATCTATTTTGCTCAGTTATGCATTGCACAACAGACATTACAGAACTACAGGTAACACTTACCTGAGCATTTTTCCTCCAAGTGTGCAGAGAGCTTTGTCAACTGCATGAGGGATGTCTGGCTTTTTTGAAACTTCTCTTTAAATTCAACTGCCCTTTTGTCATCATCAAACAAGCACTCACAGGATGACCATGGAGTTGTGTGCAGTTCCAAGTCACCTGAGACAGAACTACGTTGGACCAGAAGGTATTTGAAGTCCCATATGTGATCTATTGAACAAAAAAGGCAAACAGAAGATATTTTCTTATACTGTGGGTAATTTAAAGCAGGTCAAGGTCATTTACAAGTTTTAGCATTTTCCCATTTTGGATTAGAGTCTGATTTTTGGTGGTAACGTGCTAAAACTCATGAAAAATGTGCTGTCAGATGCACTGTTTTACAGTGAAACACTCCAAAAAAATTGTCTGAGCATCCATCTAGTTTCATGCACCTCATCTCTGACTAGAGATCTTGCAGCACCCACCCAGAACTGAGAATGCTTCAGCCAAAAGGAAGGTTCAGGTAGTAACGTTACAGCAACACCGAGGGAAAATCTAAACAGGAGGAAACAAAGAGACACTTGGCAAGAGGGGATATATGGAAATAGGGGACAGAGTCTAACTGGGGAACAAGGTTTGGCTGATACCTGAATTAAACTATTACTGAGATCTTCAACATCACCCTGCTGATAAAAAGTTTATCTTTATTTTTCAGCAATCTAAACCAGGTGAGTGTAAATCATGAACTGAATGATCTTCTGACTGTCTACTGGAAGTCCAAACTAATTTTTAGCAAGAGATGAAAAATAAATGATATTTAGATGCTCTAGAACTATACAGTCTTACACACTTTAACCCTGTAGACAATGCAAAAATTACAAGTCTCCACACTTTCCTCTATAAGACTAAGAAGTTTCTAATCTGCTCATACAACCAGTAAACACACAGAGCTGTGGTACAACTCCTACCAAGGACTTTGTGGACATTGAGGTTTTCCTGTAGCCCACTCACACTGTTTAGCTGCTGTATTGTGTATGCTTTAGTATCCTGTGAATTTATCTTTTTGGCTATCTTACTGGAATTGAATGTTCATGGTTTGTACACAATGAAGTATTTGAACAATTGAGAAATCACTCTTATCTTGAATTTCAGATAATCATTTAATCATAAAAAGGCCAACTGCCAGATGCACAGAACACTAGCTGGAGAATAAGACACAAGGTTTACAAACATAAACAATACTACAGAGACCTACATGTTACACTTTTCCATTTTAAGCATATTGCTGAATGTCTAATAAATTACCTTTGGTATCCTCTTTCTGCAGCAACAACAATCAAAAAAATCAAATTCTATATTTTTAAAAGTAATATTCTAGATGATTCAATTCTTCAGGATGACTGAATTCTGTAAAATTTCTAACCATCTAACAAACAGTATACACCTGCTAACACTCAAGCATGCACAAAAATAAGAGCCATGTGGGCATTACATAGAAAAGTTACTGCTTGAATTGCACCATTTTCTTCAGGTAGTTTAAAAGGTTAGGTCTTACAGTTAAAATGATTTCCAAGGATGGAGATTACTTATAAATTGAAGTGGTACTGGCAGAATTCAGTGTCAGAATTTAACAGGTAAAGATTCACTATGAAGATGTTTAACCTTCATGGATTTTATCCTGTACTGTACAAAAACTGGCTTTTCAGGTAGACATATTCAGCATTTCAAGTAATACAACATTTACTTCCTAAGTGTATTCATTGATCAGAAGTATAAACTGAAGTTATCAATTTAACAAAAACCTACTTTCACTTATTTTTAAAGAACAAAGCCAGGAAAAAGTCAAAATTTGGTAATAGTCAGTCACTGCTCAAACACAAGCTACGTAATTATTGCAAGAGATGGTTTCAGTCAGTTATAGCCAGACTTGATTGCAAGACCATTAGGATATAAAGCCTGGCACTGCAGTAAGGTGGGAAACAGAGAATGAACATCAGAAGTAGAAAAAACCAGCATTTCATACTAAACTGTGACAATTATAAGGAAGACCCAGCAAAACTGGTAATAGTTAACACTCATGGGTTTTAATAGTTAGATAACTGGGAACTAGTGCATCTTGTATCTAGGTTCAAGTTTTTAAATATTTATGTCTTCTCAGTCTTCTAAGGTAAGTGCATTCAAATTCTGCTGCTGCTGGCACTGCTTCTAAACAGAGGACACATGCTAGAATTGCTATCAAATATGTTACCCTTGCAAGGGAAGTATTTAAAGGTTGAATAGTAAATGTTACCAGCTGAACATTTTAAAGATATTAACAGCACCACAAAAATCCTTCTACAGCAACCAACAGGTACAAGGACTTTACCTTTTTTCCTTTGAAGCTGAGGGCACCAGGCAGCCCCTGCTCCCCACAGAACCATCCTGTAATGTTGATCTCTGTTCTGTTCTACTGTTAGAATAATTTTTCTTTGGCTGCCACCTTTGTAGGTATACACAGATTCTGAAAAAAAATGAAATCACATTATTTCTACAGTAAAAAGCATGTAAGCACACAAACCCCAGTATTAAGGTGAAATCATGTTGCTATCTTATTTTACAGTGCAATTACAAGGAAAGAAGAATACACCTACAACTTCTTCAGGACAGAAAACAGTCTGATTTCTTCAGAAACATGACTCTAGTCTGAAGGAGTGCATAAAGTAGATGATTTTACTTTTATCCACCTAAATACTCAGCAGCTGGACACCTCCCTTTGAAACAGCAGACATCTGAGCATCTTTCAGCTCCCACTTGAGTAGATGCAAATTTTACTCAATCTCTCAGTAACTGTCATAATTGGAAGTTAAAGCTCCTGTAACTTCTGTGGAATACACTGAAAGAAACACTTCTCTAGAAATTTTCACATAAAAGAAAACCATAGTCAAGTACAAGGCACACTACAAGGCACACTACTAATACTATAAAAGTATTAGTAAGAACATATAAATTGAAACAATTAAGATCTCTACGTGACTCTTACCCAGGATACTGCCTGTCTTAGTTCCACACGAAAACTATAGTATTTTTAATTAAAAAATAATTTTTCAACAAGACCTCTTGCATTAAATATCCAACAGTTCTGAGATTTACATACTATTATGAAGATTTCTATCTTCAAAATTCTCCATTTATCATGAATAAATATGACATTGACAGTGTAGGTAAAAGTTTGAATCTTACTAATACAAGCTGACAGAGCAACATGATCAAATTTGCAAAGCTTGAAGTCAAGCACTGAGAACATTTTGCCTTGCAAAATTACTATTTAAGTTTCACCTAATGCAGAAGTTGAAGTCCAGTGCATGAACTTACCTGTTAATACAGCAATGTCGATAATTTTCAGGACTGAGTGCACCAACGTATTTGGCTGGAGCTGATCTAGCTGCATATACTGAACACTATCCAGTCTCTGAACCTGCCTTTGTGGAATGTCTCTGAAGTGTGGAAATTCTGATGATATGTATGCCAATAAGCCATGGAGAACACCACAGTCCACTACAGGATAAACTTATATGGAAAAAAACAAGTCAAAACGATAAACTATTCTTTTTGTTTAGAAGTATAAAACCTACTGCTTGGAACATATTTACACTTCACAAAGTCAAAACTGTTTCAGAACAATTTTAAGGCAAGAAATCCTTGAGATCTGTAACACAACCTGAAATTAAGCTGTACTTCATCTGCCTCCTCTTGATAACATCCCAAAGTTAAGTACAATACTTTAAATCACACTAAACATAGCAAAGAAATCTTGTCTCATAGCTTGGTAAGAAGAATAGCTGTTCTTGGCCATTCACCTCAGACTCTGCCTTAAACAGCTGGTAACAATGGACATCACAAAGACAGTAAGAACAATGCAATCATGGTGGTACTTCCACTGTATTTTCTCCTTAGTCTCCTATAATTAATTACTTTCCCTGGATGGATCTACTTACTCTTTAAGCCTCTGACGTTTCTGCAGAAATTTTAATCCTTATGCAATTTCAGACATGAATTGGTCGAGTCCTGGGATAACTGCTCTTTCTTAAACTAAACTCATGGAACTCAATTTTTCAGAGTTTTGAGTGGTAACCACCAAACTTTACCATAAACTCCACACGCCTGTCTGATGTCATTATGTTCACATCTTGTCCACAAGTGTCCCTGTCATACTTTTCTATAGTGTTCTGTACCTCTCAGTTGCACATATTTCCCTTCTATCCCACGTGTGAGGCATTGCCAACAAAATGGAATTCTTTAAATAGCTATTTTACTGTGATTTTGAACTTATTCACTATCATCTTACATTCTTCTGGATTGAGAGCTGAGCAGTTCCCCAGATTCAGTAACCGACTGGTGAATGTAGACTGAAGCATGATTTCTCCACACCAAAGGTTCTCATACATTGTTATATCTGCAATAAAAAACCCAACCTTATCAGCTCATATATCAACAATATTGAAGTATATAGTATTTTTCTTGATCATAGAACCATCATATATACAGCTGTGAAAGACAGTTTGAAAGAGATCACTTGGAAACACAGGGTTTTTTTTTTTTTAATCTATCAACACCATTTACAATGAGCAAATAAAATTTTCTCATTAGTTTGATGTAATTCTTAAATTCATTAGCCTCCTAGCAGGCACTGTTTAAGTGAAGTGTGTGGCCACATTGGATAAATTATTATTGTACAAAATTTCAGAATGAGTAGTAAAGTACTAGGCTTACCCAGAAACACTTCTGATATATTTTGCAGTAAGAATGTCTAAGCAGAAAAGAAAAAGCACAACTTGTCTTCAGTTTCTTTAAAATATCTACCTTTGCACTTACCTTTGAGCACTTAAAGAACTCTTAACAATGAGAAATAGGTATCTTAAACTGTAGAAGTTTTCAAACAATTTTATATTGTGTAACTTTTTTGCATATTGCCAAACCTAAGTGGCCGGATCACTAACAAGTTCTGGGCCACTCCAGCCCCAAATTAGGTGCAATATTGTTTTTGCAGTACTGCATTTGCTCACGAGGTGTGTTCTCTTGCAGAGAGGGTTTTGCTCCTGTTATGTATAAAAGAGTACAAAGGATTTATCAAGAGGAATCTTCATTATTAATTTCATGTTATGAAAGAGGTAAATTACAAACAGCATTTTGTATTTCTGCAGTCTATGCTGGTTACCAATTCACAACATGATCCACCTCAAGATGCTAGTGCTATGTTAAAAAGTCTTTCACAGGAAGAAGAATATTTCTCATCCTGAGACTGAACTTCACAATTTTTTGTTTTACCTGCTGGTCCAAAAGCAGAGAATTACAAAGAAGTCCCTCTATGGGACAGTCAGTGTTCCACCAGCAGGATGACTGAGAACTCAAAGTGATGTTGAACAATGCAAGTGATGTAAGAAAGATACTCACAAATCCTTAGCCATAGTTCCAAATTACTTGTTACATATTCTTCTACTTTAAACAGGCCTTTTGAAAGATCCACATTTTAAAAAGGCAAGTAAAAGAATTCTCACCTGTAAGCAGTACAACATCTCCAGGAAACACAGTGAGGGACCAAAATGCAGCACCACGCCACAGCACCACCTTTCTCTCAGTTTCTGACTGGTCAATAACAACAATTGTTGCTACAGGAACTTTACATGAAGATTTTGGTCTAGTCTTTACTTGTATTTCTTTGATATGACAAGGATGTACTACTGTGACCAAAACATTGTACTTTTGATTTTTGCAGCAGCAATTCTTAAGTAGTGATAGTTTCTTCTGAAGTTTCTTGAACTCTGTCATCCTCTCTTGATCCACTTTAGTCCCAGGACCAGGTGGAGAGGAATTCAGTTTAGCTCTCTTGGATATCAGCTGCCTTTTAAATGCTGAGTGAAAAAGAGGAAAGGAATCTTCACACTTGCGGGGTCTTTTAGAAGAGTTCTTGTGAGAACAGTCTACTTGAGAGCACAGTATTCCAGAGCTCAATGGTTCAATATGAATTTCATTTACCAAGCGCTCAGAAGGAGCTTCAATTTCTTGTAACTTCCCTATGTTTTCCTGAGCACTTCCTTCTTGCTTTGTAGCTTCAAAACAAACATTTTCCCCATCATCCTCAGAACTGAAAAGATCAAGAGAACTTGCATACTCTTCCTTACATTCATTTTCAGCCACATTAGTACACGTTCCAACACCAGAATCAAATTGGAAGTGATCATACCGTCTTTCTTCAGCTTTTTTGCCTGCTTCTGTATCTGACAGCTTTATGATTCTTCCCAGCATCTCATTCCGCTCCTGTGCAAGAACAGCCATCTGACTTGACGTCACTACACTGCGAAATTCAGTATCTGTTGACACCGCCAAGTCCAAACAATCGTTTGGTTCTTTTGGTTTTGACTCTTGACGGTTTTGGAAAACCGTATCCAGATACTGATCTAGATGTTGATGACGATCGCTTCTGTGACCTGACTGCTGTCCCACAGACAGATTTATGCTGATCTGCTTCGTACTGGCAACCAACTCGGAAATGTCAGCGCCGTTCACTTCCGAATGACCAGCTTCTCTCTCAGTGAGGTCTGAACAGCAGCCATGGGATGATTTGTCCTGCCCAGCTGATCCTGTAAACTTCTGTGGAAGGTGTTGATCTGCAGCCTGATTTGCATTTGCAGGTGTGTATCTATCTTTAGATATCTGACAGTCAGAATAAGTTAAACTTTTGGTCTCTTTAGGTGTGCTGGTACAACTCACTGCCACAGGTACAGGAGGTGCCAAACCTTCTGCTGCCACTGCCCTTCCCTGTTCAGGCTGCCGAGCGCTGCCATCCCTCGTAGGAACTGCTGTGACTGAGGAGTTTCCTGCCTGGAACACTGAGGGGTCAGCAGCACCCTGGACTTTTTCAGAAAGAAGCCCACGTGCGTCACACAAATAGTGCAGTTCTCTCCATTTTTCAGCAGTAGGTGCTGAACTACTGGGCTCTAACACCTCCAGTGGGCCTGGAATACTGGGTGCTCCCACAAAAACATGAATCTGAGGTCTTTTTGACATTTTTGACTGCTGTGCAAGCTAGACTTTAAATAACGTGGCTTATGCAATGAGCACAATAATAAATATTAGCAAATGCAAAAAGAAAATAATTTTACTTTCTCTTAACAACTTTAAAAATACCTAAAATCCAAAGGAGTATTTCATAGTTTAACTGGTAAAAACACTACTTTACTACTTATAGCCCATAAAAATAAATGTACAAAGTCTAAAACAATGGAAGTTATTTTAAAAATATTTAATTTTTGTGTCAAACTTGCATAGAAAAATAAATTTACAGTGCTCCCTAGTTTCTGATTCTGATACTCGGAAACACATTATGGTGAAGTTAAAATTAAGTTTAATTATTGAGCTATTTATCTTCATTAATTATTGCTAATTAAACAGTCATATGTGAATTCATTATTCAGTACTTGATTTTAATTCATGTGAAATAAATGCCTGTAAGAAACTTTCACAGTACAGTTAGGAGATAATTTCATCTCCCAGAAAATTATAGTTTCAACTAAATGATTAAAAACACCTACAGCCATTTAAAATTAAAGTTTGCTAGAAATGCAATATTTTACAGGCTGTTTTAGAATGAAACTACTATATTAAGTGATTGTTTTAAGAAACTGAAGCTTTCAGGCTACTACTAATAAATTATAATTATTTAATGAGCACTAAGACGTTAGTGAAACTTGAGCAGGTGATTTAGAATTTAATTCATTTAAGTAGTATCACACAACTCATGAAATAGCTTTTCTAGCTACTTTAAAATAAGCCCACCTTACATAGCCCAAAAGACCTTTTATTTTTTTTTGTTTTGCTATATAATTACAAATATAATTTTAAAATATGCAGCTACAGCTACAAGTGTTCATTAAAATGCTGATGTCTAGCTACATGTTTTGGGAGTGTTATTACTAATAGAAGTTGCTGCAATAGGCAATTCTGCAGATGTAGAGAATGCCAGATAAAATTCGAGAGCTAATCCAGCTGTAAAGAGAAGGAAAAGAGCATTGAAACAAACACAGCATTCAAAAATACGTAAATTTTTCATTTAGCACTTATTAAATTAGCAACCATTTTCTCAACAACCCCACTAGGGGTCGATAAATCTGCACATTCCTAAAGATCACTGTAACATGGAAAAGCTATAAACATCCTGGAACACTGATCTCTGGTATATTACTGGTGTCACTGGAAAAGCAATATACAACCACTAAAATCAGATATGGCAAAATTCAAAGGAGGTGCAAAACACAGTAACTGTCTGCACTCAGTTTTATGCCCATTAAAAAAAGAATGCTACTTAAAACATCAGAGTATCCAAAGCAAAGTGATAGTGAGGTTGAACCCCCAAATAAGTGTGTTAGTAAGTTCTGTAGATAAGAGGTTACCCAACACGACATAAAAACAAGTTTAGTAACAAATCTATGACAAACAGAAAATGTTTTATTAGTTTAAATGAACTTCAGAAGCGTAACCTAAGTGATGAGATTAAATAATTTCTTCCACTTAAAATATATTTAAGTCTACTGATAACTTTTTCTTTGTGATTATCTTGTGATTATCTTGTGTACTAATTTGTGATAATTAGAACAGTATGTTTAGAGGCCAGCTTACAACCTGGAGTTGCAAGACCCTTCAGAGATTTGTAGTCATAGAAAAGTTAGTGCTTAAGATGCCATAATGTAAAGTTCTCAGAATTAAAATTAAACTCAGAATTAAAATTAAAATTAAAATTAAAAAACTCTCAAGTGTCCTAGATTACTTTGTTTATAAAATGCAGCACTTCACATACTGTACTGGAGCAAATTTCTGCACTTTATAGCTTAAAGCCAGAAAAGAGTAACAAAGGAAAGCTTTTAGACAATTATATATTTCATGGGCTAAACCTACCGTTTCAATACTTGTAGTTCAGTATAAAGGAAGATCCCAGAAAGGCAGCTGTACTTCACTCTACTTCCAGAGATATCCTGTATCATATTTCAAGAATGTTCTTCCTATAATCAGGGTTGAACCATTAATTAACCAGTTAAGACTTGAAGAACCATCACTGAAGGATCAAATAATAAGCATTGGGGTTTTTGTCTGTAATTCTGTCTACTCCCCATAATAAGCTCATGGAAAACTGGATTTGTTTTGTCAATTCCCAAGCATTACTATGCTATTTTTAACCAAAAGCATTACCAATTTATGAAAGCAACAAAATGAAAATGTAAACATATCCTAATAGCCCCAGACCTTCTTCTCAGTATATATATAGATACACACACACATTACACTCAAAGTCTTTATGCAGAGTCTGAAATGAACAAAGCTGTTATTTTGGTATGCTTGAAAAAGACAACTACTGTGACCGTTACACCTTTTTCCCTCGAGGATTTCATTTTGAGGACCTGGAAGATCTTGGCACAGTCTCACAGTATAATCTAAACCAGCTAATGCCTATTGCAACTGCAGTAATTAGGACTCAAGTTACAGCAGGCATGACACTGCCAAATACAATGGAAAAATTTCTGCTTTTTTTGTCCAAAAAGCCTCATCTTTTTACATTTACATTTATAAACACACATTAAGATCTGTGACTAATATTAAAGGGTACTTTGAAAATACTTTTCTTTTTAGACAAGTATCCAAGTATTTCTTTTTATAAACACACCTTATACCTTGGTAGCACTGACATGAAAAAGACATATTAATAGCAAGTGGTGATTTGCTACAGTACTAAAACAAAATAAACTGAACACTGCCACAATCTACTACCACAAACATATAGGGACAACTGGTATCATTAGGCAACTGAATTTCCCCGAGATACATTAAACTGAATTTATAACAGAAGGAAGTCCATGCCAGTTTTCTAGTAGACTGATGAATTTAAAGATGTGAGCTTCCATACAGATGTGTTCTCAATAAATACCTGATATATAAGAACACACCTGTAACAGTATTGCATACAAAACATGAAATGTTTGCTAAGCGAGAAGTCAACAATACTTTGATAGGATCTTGGCAAAAGTCCAGTTACATAGTAATTTATCAGCCTCTCATTTTAAGCATCACTTCTCTCTTGGTTCTTGTCATGTTTAAAGCTTAGTAAGTTACACAAAGATTCAGAAAGTTTTCCTTAACTTTCCAGTTCTGTAACTTCCCTGAATGTAGGATTTGCTTTCTTTATTCATGTTTTGCAGTGCCAGTACATTCAAGGCCAGGTGGGATGGGGCCCTGAGTGACCTGGTCTAGTGAAAGGTGTCCCTGTCCGAGGCAGGGGAGTTGGAACGGGATGATTTTTAAGATCCTTTCCAACCCAAGCCTTTCTATTATTACACCAAAGCAATTAAATCTTTATGTTAACTATGAATTTTTTCAACTAAAATATTTTCAATATTTTCAAAACCTAAAATTTACATTTTTCTTACAATACTTTAAGCTTAGAAATGGAAAGTGACCTCTGCCTATTTTCTGGTTCACATAATAAATCCACTACCAAATCATCTCCATTGGCAATTTTCAAGTGACTTTTTAGGTCAAAGATACCAAACTCCTTCCTGTAATAGGAAACATCAGTACCTAAAATCATTTAAGTCTGTAAATCAGAAAGAAAAATAAATTAAAGTTTATCTAAATTCTCTGTTTGAAAAATTGTATACAGAACCTTTGCTATGCTGCTTTAGAATGGAATTATTACTATTTTCATGAGTTTTGTTAATGAAGTTCTGTGCCTTGTTTTAAATAAAAAGTCTAAAGGAACAATTCATTATAAGTCTTGAAAAAATAAGCAAAAAACCTATCAATCCTATTAGCATTTTATTCTGTAGTTACATTATCTGTAGGCAGATAGGGGGTTAACTACACTAAAGATAACAGGAGCTAAAGCTCATAAAGATACAACCGAAACCTGAATGCACATATCCATTATACCTGTTAATTATTACACCATTTCCTAATTTGTGGAAAGCTGCTCTATTCCTAATAGCCAATGAAAGCCTAGTTTTTTATCTCTGAAATGGTCAGAGTCTGATTGACGGGTCAATGATCTATTAAAAAACAGTAACTACATCAGCAACTTTTACATTTGCAAGACACTGCAACTGAAGTTTAATACACCTATTACAAGAAATACAATATGCTACATAATGTATTTCCTCCAAGCTAAACACTACGACAGGAATTCTCAATTTTAAGGTTTTTTAAATGAACCATTATTAACAGATTGTTAATCCCTAGTGATTTGCTACACATGGAACAAAATTAAAAATAGATTAAAAAATCCTCTTCCAATAGTTACTCTAGAAATGTTGTGATGCTACATACATGACCTTAAAGTACCCCTAAAATACCTTAGAAATATTCACTACTTTTATTCCATATTTCATTATTCATTAATAGTATTCACTCACCACGATAATCACTAAGCATTAGGCCAAGATAACTTAAGAGTGTGACACAGCTTCAGCTTCCTATCATTCCTGAATATTAATGGTAGCCAGTTGCCTAAATACCTGCCAGTTACATCCAAATAGTTCCATTAAGTCCATTTACTTAAACCACACTAATTCCACCTCTAGTTAACAGTTTCTTTATATCTGTCTCGCACTACAGCTTCAAGCTACAAATAAAATTACAGAAATAACAGACAGTAATGCATCAGAAGACAAAGGATTATAGCAATATAATGCAAAAGTGTAACTTACTTTACTCTCCAGAATTTTCATTGTCCTTTACCTGCTGAAAAGCTGGCCCAGTAAGAAATACATAAAATAGGATATACTTTAAATTATAAATTTTAACTTCCACTGTAAGCTTTCCCCTGCCTTATTCGCATATTTGGTTTTACACTCCTCCTACATGTAGTATACAAAATTAAGGGATTGATTCATCAACCTTACAACAGAAGAAACTGAATTATTCATAGCCATCTTCAGAGTAGAAGAACAGCAAGCAGTGTAGTAACAGTTTCACACACTTAGAAACTGAAACAACTCTGGGATGAAGCGATGAGCTCATTCCATGTTCGCTTGCAATTTATGCAAGGAAAAGAAGGATGATCTTTATGCCAACAACTCTTGCTGGCACTGCAAGTGAATCAATATACCAGCAACAGCACCTATCCACCAAATCAATAGGCAGCTTGGTCCAAATGGATATGTATTAAAAGGAACTAAAATGGAAAATAAAAACTGACAGAAGAAATTGAGCCAAGCAACTTGTAGCCAAAGCAAATTTATATTCTATGTAACAGTGAGAAACCTATCATATGGGCTTAAAAGAAAATTATCTGTGTAGGTGAATGGCAGCTCAAGGAGATCAAAGTGGATTGCATGAGACCAGGCTAGTGGGACCTAACAAGAAGCCAAGAGAATGTGCACATGGGAGAAAGTACACGGACATGTGGGCAAGTGGGAAAGTGGACAGGACACATAATTAAAGGTCTTATTTGTCATCCTTGTTTGGTGGTTGTAACAATCACCGAAAACCTTTCATCTAAACTGCAATATAAGGTTTCAGGCAAAGACTGCAGTCCTAGCTATAACTGACAGGTTTAACCAAAGTAATTTTACACCAAGATGGTTATTTGGTTTAATAACATCATGCAATAACATCATGTTTCTGGAATGCTGTGCACAGAGACAGCTGTCAACCAGACATGGTGGCAGAGCAAGACTCCTGCTAGTCCATATCAAAAGTTTTGAAAATCATAAACCTTCATTTGCCTACAGCAGTATCTGTTATTAGTATAAAGCAGCTTCTAAATGAGGTACTTTGGTTATTATTGGCCATAAAATAATGTCTATTAGTACTTACTATTTACATTAAGTAGCAGCAATATTAATCCATTCAGTATTTAGTTCTTCTCATGGGCTATTACCAGAGGACTGCAATACCATTTGGCCTCAAGACAGGTACGGCTGGTTTATAATACATAAAACCTGTACTCAGCAATATGGAGTCAAAAAACAAGAGGTATCAAAGTTTCTTTCCTTATCTGCAGTGCTTTCAGTAACAAAATGCTTTTTAGAATATGAAACACCTATAACTTGGGTACTGCAATACAAACCTTCCTAAATACTCCTGCAGCAGCAGGTAGATAATTTCAACCAAAAATCAGTGTTCTGAGAAGTTCCACAGACTTGCCACTGTTAGAAAAGCTAAATCAAAATACCAACTAAGAAGCAAGAGACACCAATTTGTTCTTCATAATATTACTGAACAATTAAAATAAAAAAAAGAAGGCAAGTAATCAAATGGCATTGCTATTGCTAACATTTAATATGTACCTACTTGCCTGCAGGATCAAGGCTAAAGTTGTGCTCTAAAAGGAAAAAGCTTCCCTTGGTCTGAAACAAAGACATATCTTCTGTAAATATAAGCTTATATCATACAGAGGTATCTATTGAGCAGCTGCATCAGCCATTTTACTTTAAAAGGATTATTTTTTGGAACCAAATGATGCAAAAATTTGAACACTGATAATACATTTTTAATCCAGCCACTGAGATGGTCATCACTGTGTTTGAAAATAGGAGTAAAGGTAGTAGGCTTTTGTGATTAACTTGGTAATTCTTTCCCCACTACCTTTGAGGTTTTCGAGATGTCCTTTTAAGTAAATGCTATTTATTGATTTTTGTTTTGCAATACATAAAAATATATAATTAAGGAGATATGAGCATACAGTGGATGTTACAAAAACAAAAGAAGTTAAAAGTTCTAAAGAACAGTGACCTTTAGAATCGGAAAGAAAGATAAAGGTAAAAGGTCAAAGATACACAGACGTGTCGTGCACGTTTTATTGCAGAACACTCCTTCCCCAAAGCCTTACTTGTGATAACAATTTAAAGCACTAAACTGCTATATCTTCTATCAAGAAAGATATTAAAAAACCCCACAATATTAGAATGGTATCACTGGTTTTTTTTTTTTAAACAATTAAGTCTGCAGAAAATATCCACAGGTGTCATTACTGCTGAAAATCTATGTTAGGACTGAATCCTTCTGATAA